ACTGCTGTGGGAAAAACATTATACCAACGATTCAGGTATGCATACTCTTTGTAGATGCTATAATTAGGATTATACCATCTAAAATAATAGCTTCAAAACAGAAGCCCACTGTTGTAGCATAAGGAAAAACCACAAGCTTAAAGGGTTTATTCCAGTTCAGTATTTTGCTGCACATACCCCTTAAATACTACGAACTATTAAGATTTCTTATTAAAAATCTGCTATTCCCAGTAAGAAGGAATTACTTAGGGAACATCACTTGGGCTACATTTAACCAGACAGATCTGCTTTTGGAAAGACTCGCCTTCTTCATACTTAAGTATTTAAAGAGTATGCAATTAAGAAATAAACAGTATCTCTTCAAAAAAGGAAATACACTCTGGTCTAAAACAATTACTCAAAGAAGGAATTACACCCCTGCTCCTCACTATTGACTAGTGCTCCTACTTCTTCTGAGACCATTTTTTATGTCATTCCACCTTATTTTCTACAGTCTTGGTTATATGCTATCATCCTTCATTTCCGCACCCCCTAACTCCTGCCATTTTAGGAAAAGAAAATCAAAATCCTTTTATACTCTCCTAACAACCATTGCTCTATTAGGAAAGAAATTTATTTTGGTTTCTTTATCATGTGATTAGTGGGACTGCTCTTAGTTACTGGAGGACAGTAGAGAGAATGACTACTCCAACCTCTTCTGGTGTACAGAAAGATAAACCACATTACAAATTAGCAAGACAAATCCAGTATCACACAAGACTATTTCCAAATTAGTGCTATCAGAATTCTTGAAAGAAAAATAGGTATTAGATTTATTCTCAGGAAACAGAGAACATATACACCCCTACTACCAGTCCTGTATAAAATGACTTCTCATAAAGATAATTTAGTTCAAGATTTGTGATCTCATACATTCTCTTCCCTTATAGAGAAAAAACAAGTCTTATTAAAAGTTACTTGGAACCTGTATTATATATTAAAAGTTATGTGGAACCTCCACATACAAGCCCATACGTTTTCTAAAAAAATTAACCAATGTTTGGTCTATATGATTTAGATCACACAAAATTTTTCAACACGATGTGTCACCATGAATATAAACGGCCACACACCTACTGATACAGCTCTTGGTTTTGGGAATTTCAGGTACTTTGAGAAATCATGAGCCTTTACCTTACAGTCAACTTTATGAATAAACTATACTTTAGTAATCATTGTGGCACCCCATTAATGCACCAATATCAGTTTTTATACTAAATAATGTCACATATACATATGATTTTACCTTCTGATTACCAACTCCTCGGTAAGAATACTCTCAAAGGCTTAGATAGGCTTAAGATGGTATCTACTGTGTGATTTACACATCAACTGTGTAAGGTGTAAAAGCAAAATTACTTCCACAATTCAATAGATAAAGAAATGTAGGCTCCCAAGAAATAAAGATTCAAGTAGGGAGCTTCCATTTTTAAAGACTTCAGTCTAATGAGACTTTCGTATCAGAGCTCCTAAGAAGTACCTACAGTTTTTACAGCAATGACTGACAATTCTGTCTCCTGGTATACATTTACATAATCCTCTCACTTAAACTTCAAGTTAAAAAAAAAAAAAAAACAGAGCAGAACTCGTGTATATATATAAATGTAGAACCAAAACTTGTATTTACATACTTAATAGCACATACCAGGACACAACACTTAACATTCACAATATGTAATACTTTATCAGTAGTCATTAGCAAACTACACAAAGAAAACCATTAACAAGATATAGAGATATGTGCCACCAAGGGATCCTTACAGTCAGGTTTTCAACAGTCTTTGGGCACAGTTGACAGTTCACAATTCGGCCTACAGAGTTCACACTGGTCAGCTATCAATGGAGAGCAATCTGTACTGTGTTCCTTTTCCAAAAGGACCAATAATATTTTGCACCTTCCCTCATTTATAGAAAAGGAGTTTGTTAAGTAAGTAGTTTAAACAAATTTTGTAATGTCCACTGTAAAAGTGGCTACACATTTTTTTATGAGCCATATTTTCAACCATCATTATATCCACCAGTTTATACAAAATCAATCTAAAGTCTCTCAACAGCTGACCATAATAAGCCTTTCTAATGAAAATGGCTGGAAAGATATATAAACTTTATGGTAATTAATAATGTAGGGTCAATAGGCAATGCTAATTCAAACCTTTCTGAATATACAACCATCAGCTCTCCTAAAGCTGTGATAATATTAAAATGTATTAATAGAAGGCTTGGTTTTTTAATATAAATGATCTCAAAAATGAGCCAATATAGAGCCCCCTATTAGATAATGGAACCAAAATCACAAGATTCAGTTTTCAATAATATCAACCTTAAACCATCTTGATCTTTTTGTTAATCTCTAATTTTCCTTACTTTTCTCAAAGAAATAGACTGTGTTTATTAAAGTCAATTTTTCTTTTTAAAGCAAATACCTCATTCACAAATATTTCCTTAGGATCTGAAATTTGTCAAACTATTCACAAAATTTGAGTCATAATTACTCAAGAACTCTCACTCAAAATTATTTTATATTTGAATGATTGCAAATAAGACTATGTACAGATTTTGATTTAAGAAGGCAACCCAAAAGCATATTAAGATTTTGTCAGTACTGTCACTTCAAAAGTACTCATCCCAGTAACTTACACATATGCCTGGAAAACTATGTTATTTAATTTCAAGCACAAAACTTTACAATGCCCTCTCTCTTTTACAAAGGCTTTCCACTTAAAAAAAAAAATATTATTTCTACTTAATGGATTTATTCCTTCACCAGGTATGTTTGGTCCAGTGACAAAACAGTCAAATGTGTAATATTACATCTTGGAAACTAGCATGTTACATTAAAAACCAGTGAAAGAATATAACAAAAATTAGAAATGCACACTTGAAAAGCAATGTAGATTTTTAAAGATTGGGGTGAGGGGAGGTAAGTGTCATGTTTAAAAATAGGACTACACACATATCAAAACCCCTACACTGAATTAACTGTTGCAATTAATAAGAACACTGATACAGGAGTAACTGTACTTCAAACATTCACAGCTTTGTAAGTGGGATTCTTGAGATTACCAAATTTTAATACAGTAAGAGAAAAAATAAATAAATGCATCTTTGAAGTCACACCCTAAAGGATACATCTCAGAGTTTCAATTTGTCAAAAGATCTCTCTGCTTCGTGCCATATCATCAAATTAAAGTTCTGAGGAATATAATGACATGTGCCGTAAATGGAAAGAGGTGAAGAGGAGGGAAAATGTATTCCTCATTCATAGGTATGCATGTGTATGGAAAGGAGGGGAGGTTGGGAAACCAGTCATCATTTCCTGAAGAAATATGGGGTAGTGAGTGTACAGAGCAGAGAAGTGAGCAAAAGGTTATTTACCAATTCATCAGAAAAAAACAGGCTTCTGGCAACTAGAAAAGGCAAGATGCCTGTTGACTATTACACCAAAGGTGAAAAAAACTCAATCTACATTCGAGTGTGCCTTACGTGTGAAAATGAGAGCAATTATAAAAGTGGAGGAATTTTTCTGAGTGGCTTGAGGAATCAATCAGTTTCATTACTTGGTAGTCCCATCCGTATAAAATTTCTCAATGTCTAGCTAGCTGATCTCACTTATGGACATGTGGTATTCTCTAAGAGTTCTGAAGAAAGACTCCCCACAAGCAAGTTACCTACAAAAAAAGATGAACTTTGAATTACAAAAAGCAAAGATGAATGAATTTCAGTGAGCATTTTTCAAACCAACAGAAGTATATAACAAAAATATAAGACTAATTAGAAATGGAAAGTTAAGAAAAAATGTGAAGGAACTCAGAAGAAACACAGGAAGAAAAAGCTTTAACATATCTCATTGCATTCTTCTACATACCAATTATTCTAGAAATCCATAAAAATAGTTTTGATCTTTTAACACACCGAAAATTAATCTCTCAAAACAAAAACCCCAGCAAATATCTAACTGTAAAACACCTGAAACTTTCTCTGTAATGTTTAAATATAATTTTAAAACAAATGAATTTTAAAAATTTGTAATATATCATATATAATATGTCAACTTTCCATGTGACATTTCCTCAAAACCACTAAAAATCCTCATTAAGCCATAACCAAACACCAACTGTTACAAAACTGGTGTAGCAATACCCCAATTTTCATTTAAACCATTAAAAAAAGCATCCTTTAAATAGAAGGATTTCCACTTTTACTATAAAACTACTCTAATTTCAAGAACTATGGCTTTTACTATCGTTAAAGAATCTATCTCATAGCTCCCTTTCCTATAGAAAAAAGACTGATGGAAGATAAGAACATCTTTCCGATACATATTTTTTTTTGCTTAAAACAACAAAAAATAGTACTTAGAGAAGTTATTGGGAAGTCTCATGACCTTCAATCCCCTTTTATTAAAAGGCTGAACTATGTAATCTTCAAAGCACAGACTTGACATTTCACCATTATCTCTCCAGCCTTTCAACATACAGTGGAGGATATTCCTCAAGTGGACCTTCCCCCGCTTTTTTTTTTTTTTTTTTTTTAGAGGGTCTCCTGGTTTCCCAGAATGAAAAACTTGTATATAATTTTGTCTCAGCCTCAAAACTCACACTGACAAAACTCTGCCCTAGTGTTCAAGTGTGATTGATATCTCAGAAAAGGACAATCCTACAGGAGCGTAACGCACTAGCTACCACCTTTAAATTGTGAGGATTAAGCTAAAATCAACCTTTCTGAATCAACAATGCTGCATCCCTACCCATTTTCGTGCTTTTAAACAACTGTGACAAGACCAATTCTCTCATTACCCACCTTTACACCAGCAATCTAAATCAATTTTACTAAACACAAACTAAGTCTTGTATTTAAAATGGCATGGGTCTCAATTGAAGAAAGAAAAATCTCCCATAGTTGCATCCTACGCTACAATATTTGGCCAAGCATCCTTAGTAAATATTTAAAGATTTCCATACCTGTCTTCATCACCATCAACAGGAATAGCTATGCTGAATACAGAGGTGGCCAGACTGTTCATAGGTGTTAACTGAAGGGGGTTTGCCAGGGCATCTGCAACAGGAGGCTTCATAACAGGCTTATTTTCAGAAATGAGAGAAAGTGGTGGTTGAGGTAGGGGTTCTGATTTTCTTCTAGTATCGTCAACTTGCCCGACTAAAGGCTGGGTCTGAGTCTGAAACTGGCTTAATTCAGACTGTGGTAGACTTGTTGGTGCACTGTGTGTGCCTTGCGCTAAAGGCAGCCCAACGTGCTGGATGATGCTGCTGCTCCTGCTGACTGGCGTATGGCTGCTCAGCTGCTGCGACTGGGCCAGAGGAGCGGGTACATTTGGCATAGTAACAGAAGTGGTAGACACACTAGGCACGCTTGGAGCGGGCACGGCTGCAGGCACGTTTGGAACTCCGGGCACCACGGCATGAGGGGCACCAGGCATGGCTGGCAGCTGACCACTGCCACCCAGCTGCGGAGGAGGCACAGACTGGGGCTGCCCAGCCCCGGTGGGACCCAAGCCGGGCTGCACCACACCTCCCACAGAAGCCGGGGTCACTACAGCCGACTGACAAGGCGCGGCCTGCCCGCCTTGCGCTGGTCCCGGCCCCGGGGCCACGGCTTCACTTGGCTGGGAAGACGCGCCCATTAACTGCGCACCCACCGAGCAGGCATTCTGGCCAGCGCTCACCGACAGGCTGGCCGCAGCGGCGGCGCTCGCTCCGGCGCCGGTGGAAGAGGGCTGCGCAGGGCTGGGCGGCTGCAGGCCGGCCACGTGGTGCTGCAGGTACTCACTCTGGCCGGAGGGCTGGGCGGGCAGCAAATGCCCCGGCGGTATCTGAGGCTGAGGATAGAACTGCTGGGGCGGCTGCGTGACAGAAGCGCCGACGGCAGGCTGCGGAGGCAGGGACAAGGCCGGCTGAGCTAGGGTTACATTCATCGGCGGCAGACCCTGTCCACCGGGTCCCGGAGGGGCGCCGCCAGGCCCGGTTCCCTGGGGCTGACTTGGCGGCGCGGTTGTCATGATTGGCTGCGGCCCGGCCGCGGCTCCCGGGAACGGCTGCAGCGGAGCCGAGCTTTGAGCCACAGCCCCACCTACGGGCGGCGGCGGCTGTGGCTGCCCAACGCTAAAACTCTGCGGCTGGGCCAGAGTGGGCTGGCTCATTTTCTCCGACGGGGGTAGCTGTGACACAGCAGTCAAGGAACTGTCAGTTCCTGAGTCGGGCCCGTGCGCCCCCTGCATGGAGGTCACCACCACCACCACCGACCCTCCAGTGGCGCCCAGGCCACTGTCCCGTTCCGCAGTCTGGTCAAAAGTATTGCTGTGTCTAATGCAATCCCCAGAACGGGTCAGGACGCTGCTGTCTGAATCCCGCTCATAGTATTCCATACACGTCCATCGGCCTCGTCGATAGGGCTCCCCGCTACCGTGGTCCAGCTTGATCACTCGAAAACGAGAACTACAAGTGGTGGGGGGCTGAGATGGGGCTGCAGCTCCTGGCCCGGCGGATGAGCTCGCGACCGGGGTTCCGCCCGGTGCCCCGGAGGCGGGGGCCGCGGTGGCGGCCGCCGGCAGGGTACTGGCAAGCGCCCCAGCCACGCTCCGGGCCGGAACGGCTCCTCCTCCGTTGGCGGGAGCAGCCGCCGCGGCCGCCAGCTGCCCATCGAGAAGGAGGTTTGGGGAGACGGTCCCGGGAGTCTCCGTATCCCCAACATTGTTGAGCGTCTCTTCGGAGGAGCTGCGCTCGCAGACCTCCTCTGGGCCATAATCCGTGGCACGAGAAACGTCGAATATCTCGGAGGAGACGTCCTCTGTGCGTGACTCGTCCGGGTCATCTAGGCTCTCGGTGTCCTCGGTGATGCTGGTGGCCACCTGGGCCGTGGTGACACTGGTGATCTGGAAGCAGCTCTTCTTCTTGGCCGGCATCTTGGACATGGTGAAAGAGGATGGAGGGCAGCGGGCACGCCGGCTCCTCAGGGATCCTGTCGGAAACCGCGAAGGGCCGAGCACGAGCCCCCAAAGACAAAGTCCGAGTCCGCGCTGGGTCTGAGGCCCGCCGCTGTAGAAGTCACGGGCTGATCCGGGAGCCGGCCACTCGGTGAGACATCCTCCTCCCCGTTTCCTTCTCTGTGTCGGTCTCTCCGGCTCTGCCCCCGCCTCACTCCAGCGGCGGCTCCTCCTTTTCACCTCCCACAGCCGCGGCGCCTCAATTCAATCCCTCAGTGGCGGCGACAGCGCGATTCCAGGGGCGGGCCGGCTGCTTCCTCCCCCGTCTCCGGGCCGCCGTGGCCAGTCCGGCTCGGCGCGGTCAGCAGGCCTTGGCTGGGGGTGGGAGTGGGCGGGAGAAGGGGAGGTGGCGGCGGCAGCGTGAGGGGCGGTGCTGCCCGACTCGGCTCCTCGGGCGGGTGCCGGCGGCAGCCTGGGGCTCTCTGACGCTGAGGGAAGAAGAGGAAGGAGTGGCGAGTCCGGAGCCGACGAGTCCCGGTTCAGCCAGGAGCCGCAGGCAGGCGCGGGCGGAAGGTCCGCGGACGGGCGGCGGGGCTGCGGCGCGGGGGGGAGGCGCTCCCTCCCCGGCTCTAGCCGGAGCTCTGCCCCAGGGACATGTCGACTGTCTCTGGCGGAAACCCGCTCCGGGGGAGGGGAAAGCCGGCTCGGTCCTCCCCTCACAGGGGAGCCACTCCCGCGGGCGGGCGGGCGGGCGGCAGTCTCGGCCTCCCTCGCGGCTCCTGAGAGTGAGGGGCGGCGGCAGACGGCTGTCCGGCGAGCAGAGGAGCTCCGGCTGTATGAGGTAGCAGCGCTGGCTTCTTCGGCTTCTCCTCGGCGCGCCGGTTCGTAAACCCTGAAGAAACTGAAATTCAAACTGCTGAAGCGGCGGCTGCGGCTCCCTCCCCTCCGCCAAGATGGGGCTGAAATGGCCGCGCCAGGGATGCTGGGAAGAGCAGCAGTCCGGCTGCCGCCGCCGCTGCTGACTAAAATGCCGCCGCTGCCGCAGCCGCCAGCGCCGCAGCCGCCGCCGTTCCGTGACGCACCGGCGTCGTGACGTCACCGCCCCTCCGGTTTCCTGCAGTTTCGCGTGAAGGCTGGAGGGGGGAGGAGAGAGAGGGAAGAGGGAGGAGGGAGGAGGAAGGGGGCGGGGCTAAAGGTTAAAGAAGAGGAGCGGTTTCTTTATTTATAATTTTTAAATTTAAATTTTGAGCTGAAGGCTGTTAAGAGTTGAGAAGCTAAAGACGATTTTAAATTCCAGGCCTAGAGAAGATTATAGTCATGTTCCAATCAAATATTTTTATATCGGTTTGTTCCGAGACACTGAAAGACTGGAGGTCATGTGCTGTGTCTAATGTTTAGCAAAATCTTAGTGAAACCGGGGCGATAGGAATGGGGGTTGGGGAGGATTTAGATGGGATAAAGAGAGATACGGCTGGAGGAACTGAATCACTTAAAAAGTCTTGAAAATAAATGTCGACCACTAGAGTCAGAGGAGTGAAATGTTGAGAGAAATGAGGATGATTAACCAAGAACAGCAAGCCAGGTTGAGTCAGAAAAATGATCTTTCGGCCAGAAATTCTGTCTCCAACAATGGCATCAGGAGATTGTTACTTGCCCCAGGGTGAAGTCAGTTTAAGAAAAGATTAGGGCTTAGCAACATATTCCTAATTTTCTGAATTTGCTGTGATTCCAGGATCAAAGAGTTTATTTAAACTCGAGACTGTTTGTACTTTCAGCACGAAACCAGCCTATGGGTTCCATAAATGTAGAACCTACTGCGCAGAATAGTTATAGTTCTTCCTTTTGTTTATTCTAAAACTTTTAGTTGGAGCCAGGGTGTTACATGGTTTGGATTGGGCCATGTACAACCATAACGAGTCAGAAAGCACCCTTTCCTGTCCTAATATAGAGAGCAGCTATGATAATACTGGCAAATTTATCATCTTGTAGTTACTTTCTGGCCAAAGAAAATGGCAAGGCCTTTCATTTAAACAGTTAAAAAATGGCGATGGCAGCTCTTGAACTTTGACAGACTGAAGCAGTCATCATTTAGGTAGAATCTAAGTAGTGTTGCTGGAAATCAAGATTTCATACCTATTGCAGCTTTAGCAATCACATGGTGATGACTTAATAAATCAATAAGTCATTCTGCTCAGTTCTCTAATCTTTGAAGAATAAAATACTTTTATCCCAAAAGATGTTTTGAGAATTAAAATTTGCAGGGAATTTTTTTGGTCCTCAGTTGCAAGTAATTTATAGAGGTAGGTCTTCTAACAGTAGAAACCATGTCCTCCAAACCCAAGTGTCAGAGGTCAGGATGTGAAGTAAGACCACATAATAACATCCCTTTTTCTTAAGGGGGTGGGAGAGAGTAAAGGAACAAAGTGCAACATTATGCAGATATTGGGGCAGAGATAGCAAGTGGAATGTTTCATTTCTAAATCTGTAATTTCAGTAATTGTTAGAGATAGTTTTCCATCAATAAATTAGGTTAACTGGTTAAATCCAATGTAAGTTTATAAAAGCTTAATTTAATCTTAGATTGATTTACCAGATTGTTAAAAGTTGTCATCAATGTGTAGCTTTGATTGTGGTGCTTTTGGAAAAACAAGTATTGTATGCCTGTTCGTCCCATACATTATCATAATACATAAACTTTTTGATTACTTATTGTGATACTCTTAAATCACACATTTAAAGGAAAAATCTTAAAGTAATCTGTAAGACCATTCCTCCTTAAAGAATTTATTATGAAATGAAAGTAAAGATAATGATAATTGAGGTCAAGAAGTGTAATGTTTTTCTGGTAAGAAGGAGGTTAAAGATATTTAAAGACATCTTAGGAAAAAATATGATTTACAAAATTAAAATGTTTCATTTAGATATTGAAGGATTAGTTTAAAAAATAAACTAATAAAATAGTTCTCTTGAAAATAATGTTTTCCAAAAATTTAAAGGCCTTAGCTTCTTTTGTGCACTTGCCCTTAAAAACTATAGAGAATTTTATTGCACCAAACTGCTATGAAGAAATAAGAATTCTGGTTATTGCAGATAAGTTTGAAATTATTGTGCAGAGGACAAAAAAAAAAAAGGTATAATTATACCCAAACTCCAGAAAGCTATGTAATTCATAGTTGGTCCACAAAGAACTAAAAGCCTTAAAATAACTGATCAACATGATGGAAAGCAGGATATCCATTCAGGTACAAATGCTCCCTTTGGTTAATAAGTAACGTGTTAACCTACCTATCTCAGAACTAGAGAGGTCCCTGGAGTCCCAAACCTCAAGACTAGGGGTCTTAATGCAGTTATTTTGGCACCATGCCTGTACCCAGAAACCATAGTGGAAGCTGTAGGAATCTTTGATTAATGCTCTCAGAGCCCCCAACTTGGCTGTTTGTTCTACACTTTGTACTTAAGACTTCAAATGATAGCAATGTATGGAAATTACATTTAGGAAGAATAGTGCAGGGAGAAAAAAACACTTAAAAACTGACTATTTCCTTTGATGAAAGATCTTTTCATTATTCATCAACATCATACCCCTGAATTCTACTAGGTTATTATCTAACTATATCAATACCAAATGCTGAATTATTTCATAGTGACAAGACTCTGGAATGTGAACTGCAGATATTCACGGAAATCTGACTTTTTTTTATATAATGAATGCATATTATATTTAAAATAATATCGATACATTAATCTGAACATTCTGGGATAGAGTAAAGAAAACAATATTTTTAGTAGAAATTAAACAACTGCCTAGGCTGAGAGAAGTAACCCTTTAGCAATAATACTATCAGTCAGACAGTGACATTTTTCATGAACATTCCCCGTGTGCATTAGGAATTGGATAGCCTGTATCTCAGCCCACAAGTGTTTCTGGGGTTTAGAAATAGCTTATGTTTATTTTCTATGTTATCATCAGCAAATTAGTAGAAAAATACAAAATGGAGGAATAGTTTTAAGGTTCCAAAAAGCATTTGCTAGAAATAAATATCCATTGTCTAAGCAAGTGGTATGTAATTTATTACCATGATTTTCCTGGGGTTTTGTTTCTGGAACAATGTTTTATTAATAAACCCTTGCAGTGAGACCATTGTTTGATATTAAAGGGGAAAAAATGCAAGGAAAAAAACTAAGGCTAATGAAATTCCATGAATACTTTTATAAAGAAAAACATAATCTGATTGAGATGCACAAATTCTTACTTGAAAATAAGGTGTTTTTACATTTAAGGAAACTTCTATTAGATGTTCCTTTAGAATTTGATATAATATAAAATAATGTCTTTTTTTTTTTTTTTTTAAATAGTGAAGGTTTCTTTGACTCCCAAAGACCTTTGAAGTTCAGGCAAAACATAGCAATTTTGTGAAAGAAAGGGGTGCCCTTTGAACTAATACTGAATATAATTTCCTATTAAAGCCTGTGTTATTTTATTATTAAATTTAATTTAGAATCTAAAATATTAATTTTGTAGTTCTACAATTTAGCTTAAATGCTGCAATGTAGAGCAACATAAATAGAAACTCTATTTAATGACTATTAATGACTATATTGCTTTATTTATTTATTTATTTATTTATTTTTACATTATGTGTGGTCACTTGGGATAAAATTTTAAAAATTGCAGTGCCTAATTGGAGAGATTAAGAGTAAGCTCTAGTTTTGCTATAAGCTTGTTTTGTGATTGCTGAAAAGTCTATTAATCTCTCAGTTTTCTCATTACTACAAAGAAATAACATTGTGGGGAACAGTTGTTAAAATACTAAACCCACCAAAAGAGTGTATGGAAAAAGATAACAGGTGTGGCAGTGCTTTGGCATCTTTGGAAGAAAAGTTAGCAACTCAATATGATACTATTGGCAATGCCATTTTCAATACCATTTCTTAATTTTAAAAAAGAAAGCAGTTACTAGGTATACATGATTTTATGAAGAAGCCAT